CCATAACAATAGAAAAGGCTTTCTTCTGAGTCCCACCAAGTGATACTCTTTAATGTATGGGACTCAAAACATAGCTCTCTTGCCACAATAAATGGCATGAGTAGATGTGATTGGGGAGAGGCAGATCCTCAAATAACCTGGCATGGAGAACTTTTAGCGGTAAGCATCTGCACCTTGAATCCAAAATGATACTGGCAGCCAATGCAGCTCCCAGAGCAGAGTTGTTCTAAACCTATAGATTAAAAAGTGCTTATAACTGCCAAAATTTTGTACTAACTGCAGATTTTGGATGCATTTCAAGGATAGGACCAAGTAGGGTATTTCCCTGTTCCCTTCTCTGATAAAGAATTCAACCAAATGCTGGTTCATTGATGCAGCATGTTCATTTGTGAGAAATTAATTATGGATTTAAACTATCAAGAACAAATTTAGTGTTTTGGAATGATCAATAGAAATCACAGAAATATTTTTGAAAGCTCTGAAATGAAGAGTGCTAGAAAACCCTCAAATGTTACTGAGTTGAAGCCACTTACCTTATATCACCAGTTATAGGAAACAACTGATTATGGTTATTGTAACTATGTTGGGGCAATCAGTTTTTTAAATCTAAAAGGGTATTACCTTCTCATATTGGAACACCATATATTGAGTGATTTTGTTTATGAATTAAACAAGCACAAAATAGTGAACAAATAACAGTGAGTTTCTTTACGTATATGTAGAATCCACATCATGTGTTGATGACATTATGGAAAAAAAACTCCTGAATATCCAAAATGTGATAAATATTTTTCACAGAATTGTTCCAAGGCAATTTTAGATTGCATAAATGGCATACTTCCTCCATTTTTACCATCAAAAACTTGGCAGTATTTAACCAAGAAATGAAGTAATATGTATTAGCAAAACTAAAGATTAATGTTAAGTGCTTTATTGAATTAAAAACTCACTAATAATAAAATGCAATGCATTTATGAGTGGCTTGAGAAGTATGCACTCCTCCCCAAAATTAAATTCTCAAAAAGAAATTGAGTAAGCAACGGCCATCTTAAATAATTAAACTATTCTAAACTGTTTAAACTGAAATTGCAAATCTCAGGAACACAAAATAAAAGCAGTCTGCCTTCAATGATATTATTATCTGTATGAATTAACATAGATTCTGCAGCAGGATTATACGTATACTAATTCAACCCTGTGTGCTCAGTGCAGCTTATCATGAAATAAATGTGCACAGATTTGCAGCCTTAATAGATTTCATATGGATTACCAAAGATTATAATGTAACAATAACTTCGAGAAGTTTAACATCAAAGATTTAACAAGTAACATCTTTAATATGTATTAGAAAGCAAGTTTCACAAGCCTATTTCTATACACTTTGCATTTTTTCCATCTTGTTTCCCTTTTTTTTTCTAGGTGTGTCATCTGTATGATGGACTTTGTTTATGGAGATCCTATCAGATTCCTGCCCTGCATGCATATTTACCATCTGGACTGTATAGATGACTGGTTGATGAGATCTTTCACATGTCCTTCCTGTATGGAGCCCGTTGATGCCGCATTATTGTCCTCGTATGAGACTAACTGAGCTAGAGTGTCTCTTCTGACTGTCAAGAAAACATCATTTTTAATGGATTATACCTATCATTCTACCCAAAGAACCAGAGATTAGTAAACAAAATCATGCACACAAAAGTTCATTTCCTTAAAAGTGGTAAGACAATAATTTCCGACTAGCTGCAGGTAATTGGTAAAGAGAGGAAAGAAGAGACATCTTTTAGGGAATATAGACACATAGGATGCTATTTTTATGTAAAGCCTTGATCCAGTACTTAAAAATAGTTACTCTTCATGAAAGCCTGCTAGCACCCTGACCCAGATGAATTGAGTGGAGGGTAATAGTAGATGCTTAATATTAAATTGTATGGACTGAAATTAGCAAGCAATTCTATTCAAGCATCACTGACTCACACAAGAGTACTGCCATGGGAAAATGTACTTGGAGAGCAGAAGCAGTGTGACATATACATGTGTACTTAAAGAACGAGAAAGAGGTACCAAAACATCCTTTTTCCTTAAAAAAAGGGGGGGGCACGTCTGCTCAGATTGCTCACAGGTTTCTGGAATTTGGGTCAATGTTTTAATTACAGGAAAAAAATATCCTACATTTTTATAACACTGGCACAAAGATAGTTTTAAGCTTGTTTGCACAATTCTTTTTTTATCCATTGGAAATGGAATCCATTTTGCCTTAGGTCTTTTTAAATAGCATATTCTTATGTTTGGGCTGGCTCTATGCTTGAAAATCAGTTTATTTATAACCTGTTGTATAAGTGCTACATGTTGTTTGCAGTTAGGATTATGTGGACTTCAAAAAGATGTCCTAGCTTATAAGCAAATGTGAGATGCACTATCTCTTTTGTGTATGTGACATTCTGATGTTGAAGTGTTAAAAATCAGAAAACAGATCAGTGTTTTACCTCTCTGGACTTTACTTTCCCTGCCTCTTTTTTTTTTTCTTAAAGTTTGCTGGATTCAGACACCAAGATTAATGTTTCCTGGCAGGTAAAGACAAAGAATGGTGAACATGTAAGCATGATAAAAGATCACCCATATCACAGAATTTGTTTAAATGCCTTTCTTATAGCAAGTATTACATGAAACCATATAAAAAGGATACTGCATCTCTCATTCTTGTAGTTCTTAGATTTGAAAAACCAGACTGTGTCTCAGTCTATGTAATCAATGTACGGTATCTTGTATTTTGTTGGCTGGCAAAGCAGTCTGTCAAGCAGATGTTAAATAATCTATGTTTTGTACAAAAATGCAAAAATTTTATTTGGCACAGAATTACATAGGACTGATCAAGTGGGTGAACTGTAGCTGGGAAGGGCTGTTTCAAGTATTTGTAGGTCTGAAATCAGCAAAAGATGTGCTTGCAGAGAAAGTCATGCAAAGAAAGTGTAGTTATAAAAACAGCTGTCAATTTAGCATGTGGGGCTTTGTCCTATTATGTGTTCTTTAATGTAATTTTATACATTTGACTTAAAAGACAATTCTTTTAATTTAGCATGAGATACAGGCTCCAGTTAATAGCACTGTATTATGAGGACTGGCCTTGTTTTAACACATGGTTTTAAAAACTGTATTTAAACAGCTACACTGAAGACCATAAGCTTAAGAGTATAGAGTAATTAGATGTCAAATAATTTCTACAAGGCTAGTAGTATGCAAACATCTGAAATGTGGCTTATTTCTTATTCTACAGAACCTTTCATTCAGATGCTTCAGTCCGTATCCAAAGTGCACACTTGTTTATTCATACAGCTCCTATGCAAGCAGATTTTCCCTCCAAATGATTGTGAGTAAGGCATACAGAGCATAATCAGAGTTAGCCTTACAAAATGGTGTGTGTGTGGGGGGGGAACAGGCTGGGAAAGAGCTCCATATTTGCCTCAGCACCCTTGTACCTGGCTAAATAGCTCAACTGCAATTCTACATCAGATACAGATTGTTACACTATAACTGGTGCATTGAAAAAAGAAGTTTGAAGCAAGTACCATGTTAGATTAATTTACATTTAACAGGAAACTTTTTAGTGCAACCCCCTTCAACTGTTCTTAATTCCTAGAAGAGAGATAAAAGGAAGTTGTGCAATATTTTCAGAGTAAATCATACTACCTTGTCATTCCATATTTTTTCCATAAATGTTAATGTCTATCTTGTTAAGTATTAACAAGATTAAGAATTTGTTTCTTTTACCTTGGATGTTAAATTGGCAAATGAACCATTTTTAAACATCTTTTTCATGTTCATTGTTTTCTTTCTGTGACTTAAAATGCTAGGAAAATAGTATGTATTTGCTTGGAATTTATGTTCTATGTCTTAATTTCTACAATGTGGGGGGGAGAACACCGCCAAAATATTCTCCCCTCAGACTTTGGTATAGCCTGCAGCGGGTGCTCGTGACCTGTCCTTCCTTGCCTCCCACTTTCTGATGTATTGCTGTTGCCATCACTGCCAACTTTCCAACAGACCATATTTTTTTAGAATCAGCAACCCTACAATTCAGTATCCTGACTTCTGCTCTTGGGGAGGTCTCTGTGGGTGTTAGGCCACCTTTTATTGATAAAGCTTTCTTAGTGTAAAAGTTAAATGGCATGTTCAAAAACATTCTTTAAGATTCAAATCAGAGTTATGGATGCGAACATTTGTACAATGCCTACAATTTCTGATCAGCTGGTCAGCAAGCTACTATGCTGCACTTAGGCATGTGAGGAAGTCTCATATAATTCCATCACATATTATATGTTAAGTAGCCCAAATAATTTATTCCATAATTGCCAAACCTTTTGTGTTGTCTGTGTAATTCCCCCTTTGTGATAACCTTTCTTGTAGGAGCAGACATCTAGTGGACAAATTGCCACTTATGTCTTCCCAGTATGTGCACACTGAGAATAGCAGCCTTCTTATGCAAGTTTTGACTGATACCCTTACAAAGAAAATTAACTGTGACAGTTCCAGGACTGGCAAAAATCTTGCCCTTTGATCTTGGCATATCAATATTTTATGTCAAACCATGGTCTCTTCTAGCACAGACTCTATTCTTGGTTGATTACTATTAAACGAAGAGCCATAGAACTTTCATCATCATAAATTCTTCCTGTGGCTTGAGACAGGAAGGATGCACTACTCTGTGAGCTCTCAGCAGGATTCCTTGAGAACATAAAATTTATTCCCAAAACTATTTTTAAATAGGATTATGAGATAAGCAAAGGTGATTAGCATGTGTGTATGTACATGCACGCCCCAGATTCAGCACCAGGGGCTTGGTTTCTGAAGGAAGAAAAATTCAGCCCTTTTAATGTATCTTTCCAAATACATGGTTATAATCTTCAAAGCACATTTGTGCTCTGCTTACAAAGAAGCAATACTTATATTTAGAAGCAGATTCTGTGCCTTAAAATCACTGTGTACTTTTCTGTACAAATTAACATTGAGAAACAATTTGATCAATTGGCACGTGACATTTCTCAGTAATATTTAGAAGGAAAAATCAAGCACAATACCAGAGGTACTTAAAACTACTATATTACAAAATATAACTAGAAATGTCATTTACCTGATAATATATTTCAACTGAGATAATAATTGCTATTTTCTACAAATTATTATTTGGTTCCTAATTTGAGGACCTGCTCTGGAGCAGTTAGATGTTATATATGAAGACCAAAAGAAACTATCATTACATAGACACCTTATATTGGATTTTGTCCAATTGCCTGAACGTTCCTTGATATAGTTTTCTGATTTATTAGTGTGCCATAACTTTGTGATAAAAATATTTTTTTAAAATCAATTGCTAAATCCATTACTAAATCAAAAGTAAACATTTGATTTTATCCCAAATGTTAAAGCACAAACTTCCATAGGTGAGTCTCCAAAGATGTTTCCTAAATTATGATGGAAATGTCTATAATGCTGGTTATTTGCTTAAATCCCAAACTTTACCCATTACAATAGAATCTACCAAAGGTCAGTTTACAATGTGAGTCTAATTTATCAAAAGTTATTATTTGTCAACATTCCAATATAACCGCTAGAACTATGATTATGGCCTAAGTATCCATATTGGGAAATAAATATACCAAGGATCAAGTACCAATTCTCACAGTTTAAAAAAAAACATGCAAGACTGTGAACTTTACTGCAGGATGGCTATTAAATAAAAGGATATTTTGGAAGGACAATCAATTACTAAAGAAAATGATATGCTACAATTACAAGAACCACAAAAATATTTTAATATAGCAGCCAAAGTACAAGAACTGGCTCTGTGTTTCTATGCACATATTTCACATCTGGTATAAACCGTTACTATGTGTGTATTGCATTTGCTCTAGTAAAGCTGGCAATTTCTTACTCAGTTACATTCTTTAAAACTGGAAAATATTAAACAATTTCTACTTTCAAGACCAAGCAAGTAATTGCTATTTTGGGAAAAGATTCTCTGGCCTAAATCCAAAAATAAAAATTATGTTTTAACTGACAAAAGGTCTATCTAACCCAGGGTCCTGTCCCAGGATATTTAATTAATTGCACATTGAAATAATAAATCACATATTGTTTCAGGGCTCTACAAAAATTGAAAGTTGTTACTGACACATAATATACCAACAAAGGTACAAACTGCACTTGTGAAATTAATTCAGTTAAGTATGCAAAATGCTGAAGTATATGGAGTTAATTTAACTGGAGAAGAAATTAGCAATTTCTTAAGAACTTTCCAATCAGAGAATAAGTGCCAAACACAAATAAGATACAATACTGAATTATCTATAGTCTTTAACGTCAAGTCTCTAATTAGTCTAGACAGGAATTCCCACTCAAAGAAATCAGTCCTATCAGGAATGAATCAGTAAGTTCCCTTTTGGTTAGAAAATTGAGACATTCTGTTATATAGATAGATTTCGACTTGGAACCACAGTTGGAACCAAAATTTCTGTTGCTAAGCAAGGCAGTTGTTACGTGAGCCATTGCCAATTTTATGGCCTTTTTTGCCGCAGTTGTTAACAAATCACTGTAGTTAAGTGAATCACGTCATTAAGTAAATCTGGCTTCCCCTTTACATATCAGAAACCATCTGGGAAGGTTGCATATGATCATGTGGCTCCAGGATGCTGCGACCATCATAAATACAAGCCAGTTGCCAAGTGCCTAAATTTTGATCATGTGACCATGGAGAGGCTGTGGCAGTTGTATATACAAGTCATATTTTTCAGTGCTGTTGTATCTTTGGATGGTTGTAAGTTGAAGGTTACTTGTATTTAAAATGCTATCTTGCATAAAAAAATTTGTGAAATAATTTTCCTAAGTTGAATTAATGTCAAGTACCAGGGGAAATCTGGAGATTCAGGGAGTTCAAATAAGTATAAAGATTTCTTGCAAGCTTAAACTCTCTTCAAGAATCAGACCAACCAACCATCAAGGGATATGAGCAGGAGATAAGAGAGGCATTCAAGGTGGGCTGGAGTTAGATCTCTTGTGGGCGCATAGGGACTTGTGACTTATGATACGTTTGATCCCTCCTCAGGCTCAGCATGGTCATCTCCTACATCAATTGGTTAATCATTATAGAGTAATGGCATATTAAAAGTATTTTAATTATCTAATTCTTTTCAAATACTTTAAACTTGGCTTTTGTTCCAGAAAATGATTCAGGATTGTTTGTTATAGTTCTTCAATTATTCTAAGATTCTAAGATTTATCCTAAAATTCTTGGTAACCGATCAAACTGGACAAACAATATTACACAGGCGTGTTTTTTTTTGCCCCATCTGGATAATTTACATATTAAAGCATGGCTGATTGTGGAATTCTGAGAGCTGAAGTCCACAAGTCTTAAAATTGTCAAGTTTGGGGACCCCTTTATTAAAGGACAGCTGAAAGGTGGGAGGTAGGTAGGTTCTGCCTTTTTAAATTATTTCATTGTGATAAGCAAGTTTGTAGGTTCTCCATTGTGGTGGAAATAGCATTCAGGATTGGGTGATCAGTCTCTGTCTGTGATTGGACTGAGTCTGTCAAAACTTTGATGACACTCCCTCTGCTGCTAGGGACCTCCCCAGAAATTGACTCAGTCAGCTTGTTGGACAATGTGTTAATTTCTTCTCCTAGCAAATTTAACAAATCCCTTCAAATTGATTGGAAAAATAGGAATAAAAACACCAATCCTGAATTCTAATGCAAGCCAGAACCGGTCTACCACTTTGACAGCTGTCAAACTGCAGCGTAGCCAGGGCTCTGCCCCGGTCGTTGGACTTCGGATTGGCTGAGGGCCGATCTACAAGGTACTAAGGTTCTGGTTGTGGGAGGAGTTTGAATACCATCCTCACCTCCTTCCCGCACTTTGGCTTGGGAGGCTCCCAGTGGTTTCGGCCGTTGGAGACGCTGAGATTAACCACGGTAGCCTTTAAAGGGGCAGAAGACCTGCAGCGAAGAGTACAGGTAGTGAAAGTAGGTTTAGGAAAGTGAAAGGCTGCAGCGTGCTCGGGGTGACTCCAGAGTAAGATCGTTGGAGTCAGAGATGGCAGAATCACAAAAGGCTAACTGCGATGTCAGGAGAGGGGAGCGGGTGGCTTGACAGCCGTCACGCTCTCTAAGCCCAGCAGCCCCAGAACAGATGGCTTCATTTTACAGCCCCAAGCCAAAGGACAAGGCTGCAGGAACCCGAAAGGGCTCCAAGGCAGCAGAAAGGGACGAGCGCCACAGGGACAAGGCGCTGGATAAAGTGTGGGCTCGAGGGAAAGAGCAAAATGATAAGGAAATGGTGCCCTGCATAATTTCCCGCCTAAATGAGGAACGGCCATTATCGAGAGGAGAGAGGCAACTGCAAACTGACAGGGCTGCAGTAGCAGAAGCGGCCATAGGGGGAGCTGAAGAGCAGGAATCTATTGAGGCTTCTGAGATCAGAAATTTCTTCTCTGTCTGCCCAACAACAGAGCAACTGACAGTTACTGATCAGAGGCACAGAATGGCTCCAGAAGCAACCTTTACTCCCATGTCAGCTGGGTTCAGACCAGTTAGGGCACAGGAACCTGAGTTCCAGGTTAATATGCAGACTATGTTAAATGAGGCAGTGAGGCAAGGAGTGTCAGCTGTCTTAAGACAGACCAGAGGTTCTCCCTCAGAGGTTTCTGCTTCCTCATCCAGATGCAGTAGGAGACACAGGTCTCATTATGATGATGATCTTTCCCTGCATACAGAATTAGGTGCGTATATTCCTGCTGTAAGCTCCCACTCCATCACATCTGACAGTGGCCAGCTGATGGACAGAAACTATTCCGATGATGAGGGCCTCAACGAGGCTGACCAAGGCTCTATCCCTGGCTTGTTCCAACCTGCCATCTTTAGATCACTCCTCTTTAAGGCCAAAAAGGCCACAGGGCGAGGCTTAGTCCCTGAACCGCAGGAGCCTACAGACCCCTCTGAAGACCCCATTGACCCATTGTTTTCTGAGAAAACAGTCACAGCAGATGTCATCCCTGCGCCAAAGATGTTCACCACTGTCATCCAAAGACAGTGGTCGTCCCTCGGATGCGGTCCAAGCCCTTCCTCCCTAGACAAGAAATTGTTTAATGTAGGAGGCGATCTTTCCAAGGGCCTGGAAGTGCCCAATGTTGATGCCCCAGTTGCGGCCCTGCAAGCCAACATAGACATCCCTGGGGAGCCTGAGGACTCACTGAAGGCTGAGGACAAGAAGGCTGAGCAAACGTTGCAAAAAACACACCTGTCAGCAGCCTGGGCAGTGAAAGCTTCCACAGCCGCATCTTTCTTCAACAGGGCCTCTCTCATCTGGCTCCAGGAGCTACAGGAGAGAATTCCACTGGGCGATGTCAGATCACACCTGCATGTGAACAAACTATTGGCAGCAGTAGAATTTTCAGCTGATGCCACACAGTGCTGCCAGATTTGCGTCCAGGGCAATAGGGGGAACAGTGACCTCTTGTCGCTTGCTCTGGCTAAAGCAATGGCAGGCTGATATGAGGCACAAATGGAGGTTGGCCACGGCCCCATTTAAAGGGGATAAATTGGAGAGGTTCTGGACAAGGTCCGAGTGGACTCCGATTATAGGACCCCCGAAACAGGAGGGGGATTCCCCAGACCCCAGAGGTCTTTCGCCCCCAGGCAGGAACAAGCCAGGACAGGACAGGTAGAAATTGTCCCTTTAACAATAAACGGCCCTTTCGAGGGGCTGGGGGTCATAAAATGAAGACCAACCCTCCCATTGGGGGACATCTGGACTTGTTTGCCAGGTGTTGGGAGAAAGTAACCACTGACACCTGGGTCCTGGAGACAGTCCGCTCCAGACTATAGAATTCCTCTCTATGCCCCCAAGGCTTTTCATTCATCGCCCTATCTCTAGGAATACAGAGAGAAGGAACCTTATGGAAACAGCTATTCAGCACCTGCTGGAGATTCAGGCTATTCAGCCGGTGCCTGAGGGTCAACAACGCATGGGATTCTATTCCATATTGTTTGTAATCCCAAAAGCCTTGGGGGGATGGAGGGCAATTGTGGATTTGAAGCGCCTTAACCGCCGGGTGAAATACAGGCAGTTCAAGATGCATTCACTCCAGTCCATCCTGGAGGGAATTAGGGAGGGGGACTTCCTTACCTCCATTGATTTGACGGAGGCCTATCTCCATGTCCCTATTATCCCTGCTCATCGACAATTCCTCAGGTTCTGCTACAATAGGAGGCACTATTAATACAGGGCCTTGTCCTTTGGACTTTCCTCAGCCCCCAGGTCATTCACTAAGCTGTTGGCAGCCCTGGCAGCCCACATTAGGGCTATACCAGTTAGGGTCCAGTGTTATCTCGATGACATACTGGTCCAGTAATCTTTCCCATCTAGAGCTGTAGAGGATTTAGAGATCACCATTCAGGTGCTCCAAAAGCATGGCTTCTCTGTCAATGAGGCCAAAAGCCACTTCACTCCCACCAAAACCTTACTCCATCTGGGAGCTGTTATAGATACTAATTCCTGCAAGGTGTCCTTATCCCAAGAATGTCAGGAGAGTATCAGGGAGTTAATTGGACAAGTGAAATCTAAACCTAGCGTATCCCTGGCTACGCTTTCTAAGCTCCTGAGGAAAATGATATCATGCATTAATATAATGCCCTGGGCTAGACTGCATGCCAGGTCACTCCAATGGTTCCTTCTACCTTGTCAGAAGACAGGTAGTTGTTTCCTCTTACAGGTCAGATTAACTCTGTTGGTCCTTAAGTTGGTCCTTAAGTTGGTCCTTAAGGTGGTCATCTGAGGCGCTTTCCATGGGACTCCTGTTCAAGAAACCGAACAGGTTAGTGCTGACCACAGATGCCAGTCTTCATGGCTGGGGTGCCCACATTCAATCCAGGGTGCTCCAAGGACAATGGTCCCGGGCAGATTTGGACCATAATATTAATTGGTTAGAGCTTCGAGCGGTCCATCTGGCTCTGAGACAATTAGAGGATGCGGTCTCAGGTAAGGACATCCTAATCTTGACTGACAATATGTCAACCAAGGCACACATTAACCACCAAGGTGGGACTCATTCAGGGCCTCTGATGCTGGAGGCAGAGCAGCCCAGTTTATGGGTAGAGAGACACCAGGTGTCGCTCAGAGCTGAGCACATTGCAGGCGTGGCCAATGTTGAGGCTGACTGGCTTAGCAGAGCCACCATTGACCATGCAGAGTGGTGTTGGCATCCCGATTTGTTTCAGGAGCTATCGGAGCACTTTGGATGCCCAGCAGTGGATCTCTTCGCTTCCCAGAACAACACGCAACTCCTGAGATTCTATTCCAGGTTTGTGGTTCCGGGGGCGGAGGGAACGAACGCCTTGTGCAGCCCTTGGCCATGGGAGCTCCTGTATGCCTTTCCTCCTCTGCCCCTGATCCCGAGGGTCATCCAGAAACTGTTGGTGGAAAGAGCAGAGCGTATCCTTGTAGCCCCTCATTGGCCCAGGAGGCCATGGTTTGCAGAATTAATAAACCTTTCCAATTTCAGACCTTGGAGGATACTGGAGGACAGAGTGTCGCTCAGCCAGGGGCCAATCTTGCATCCAGAGCCCCAATGGCTTCACTTGGCCGTCTGGAGATTGAGCAGGGATCTCTGATCCGGGACAATTATTCCTCCAGAGTAATAAGAACTATCCAGGCCTCCAGGAGACCCTCCACCAACCGCATCTACGATGCAACCTGGAAAGCTTTCAGTGCATGGTGTTGTAGGTATGACATTGTCCTTTCTGGGGCCTCGATTGCCCAGGTGCTGGACTTCCTCCAAGAGGGCCTGGACAAAGGACTTTCACCTAATACTCTGTGGAGGCAGGTTGCAGCCTTGTCCTCTGTTCTATCCTTGGGGGGAGTGGAATCTTTGTCTAGACATCCCACGGTCCGCAGGTTTCTGAAGGGGGCTACAAACCTGAGGCCTCTAGTAGTTCATCGATATCCAACATGGGACCTCTCTAAAGTACTGCAGTCACTGACTGAGGTCTCCTTTGAACCACTGAGGTCAATTCCCTTGCAGTTTTTGTCTTGTAAGGTAGCCTTTCTGGTAGTGATCACCTCTGCCAGAAGGATTTCGGACCTGGCAGCCTTGTCTGTCAGGAAAGACCTTTGTGTGTTTCACACCAATCAAGTGGTGTTAAGACTAGACCCTTCGTTCATGCCAAAGGTGAACTCGTGGTTCCACAGATCCCAAGAGCTAATTTTGCCTGACTTTTGTCCGCATCCTGTGCACACGTTAGAAAGACGATGGCATACTCTGGACGTTCGGAGGGCGTTGAGGATTTACATCAAGAGGACATCGTCCTTCAGGAGGTCTGAATCCCTCTTTGTTTCCTTTCAACCTTCCACCATGGGCTGCAAGGTAATTCCAACGACTGTGGGGAGATGGATAAGACTTTGCATATCCAAGGCCTACCAAACACAGGGACTTGCAGTTCCTCCAAGGATAACAGCGCACTCAACAAGAAGCGCGGCAACATTGACGGCGGGGGCCACCCAGGCTTCTCTGGAGGAGGTTTGCAGGGCGGCTACCTGGGCCTCTCCTTCTCCGTTCATCAGGCTCTATAAGCTGGACTCATTTGCTTCTGCTGAGGCAGCTTTTGGACGGAGGGTTCTGCAAAAGGTCCATTCTGTATAAGGGACTCGGACTGCACTAGGCCCACCCGTAGGACAGCTGGCTTTGGTATGTCCCAATCCTGAATGCTATCTCCACCACAATGGAGAAGGGTCGTTGGTCCTAACCTGATACGACCTTTCTCTTTGTGTGGAGATAGCATTCAGTCCCACCCTTTCGTGGTGCGTTCTGTATTATACTTATAGGAGAACACTTCAGTCTGTCACTATTCCTTCGCCAATTTCTGGGGAGGTCCCGAGCAGCAGAGGGAGTGTCATCAAAGTTTTGACAGACAGTCCAATCACAGGCAGAGACTGATCACCCAATCCTGAATGCTATCTCCACACAAAGAGAAAGGTCGTATCAAGTTAGGACCAATTACCCATTCCATATTGTTCTATTTAAATAAGCAATTTAACAGGCAATTCAGTTATTTTATTATCAAGAAAATAAGATCCAACCTAATTAGTACTTTTAAAAATTAATAACCATCTGAATCTGATCAAGGTGAAGTCTTCAAGGTTCTACTAGTTTATTTCCTATTATTCATCAACTTAACAAGTATATTTCAAAATGCTTATAACTAGCTGAAAATAGCACACAGAGATAACGAAAGAAATACTGCTTTTTAGAGTTTATTCCTCAGAATTTTTAAAATTAAAAACATTTATGCTGAATGTGAACATGGAAACCATTTTAAAATATTGCCAGTAATATCCATCTGTGAAGATCTGTACACCAAATGAACTGATTAAAAAAAACAGAATAACATTAGAAAACCACAGTTGCTATAGAATGATCATCATCATCTGGGAGAGATTTGGCTTGATGCAAAGCAGCTTGAATTCTGAAGTGTGTCCTTGTTTCCATGGAATAATTCTTATAATTTTGCCTAAAACAAACAGATATTTGTGATTGGTTCATACCTACAGCGTTTATCAATATCTAGACTGAACAGAGCAATATTTGCACAGAAAAAGACAAAAATATCTGTTTTCTTTCAAATGTTTCTGTTTTAAAAGGGAACAATATGTAGAAAAATGCAGCTTGTTTATAAGTAAATACAATGCCTAGCACTTTCAAAGAAAAATGTTTTCTTAAAGTTACCATATTGGCATAAATAAAACATTTCATACATATTAGCAAGTTAATATACTAACCTATGTGTGACTTCTACTACATTCACTGAAATAGTGCAATCTTATTTGTGCTTTCATGTAACAATACACTCTTTCTCTCTCTGGATACAGATACTAAACCTACTCCCCATTCTTTATTCTGGGATGGTGACTGGTGTGTGTGTGTGTGTGTGTGTGGCACCAGTCAAAGTCTAACAACACTAATTAAAAAAACAAACATAAATCTTAATATAATTTATAAATAAATAACAAATGTATGCTTCAATCTTCACGTACTGAAGTAAATCGTATATCTTCAACGTTTCTATACCAAAATGACTGAAAATAAGCACCCTACCTAGTAAGTCAGAATTATTTGTCACTGGAGCCCCTCTAAGAATTTTTCAGCAAACCTACTTCAACCCCTTCCCATCACCTTAGCTACTACTGATAATGAGAAAGATATACTTCAACAGGCTTACTTTGCTCTTTCCAGGATCTTAACTGCTTCTTCTATTTTATCTTGATCCAGATATAATAAAGCAAGTTCAAGCAGCGCATTTGGAATTAAGTAATGATCATACTTGATCTTCTTTTCATTTAAAATAAGAAATGGCAAGGTACATGAAATGAATAACAATAATTTTACAAGCAAGAATAAAGTTATTAGGGTTGACAAGAAGAAATTCTGGTTGGGTCACATGATGACTTGCTTAATCACTGCATCATTTAGCGATAAAAGGTCCAGTCCAAATTGTGGTCATGAGTCAAGGACTACCCATATGTAAGTTATACAACTTAAGCCACTTTAGCTATTTTAAAACTCTAAGCTTATATTGACCCTGATAGCTACGATCCCAGACTGATGGAGCTACTAGGTTACTAGATAAATCATCTTTTGATGTAGTCATTTTCACAAGAAATGACCAATATTCTTTCCAGAGTAATTTATATTCTCCTAAAACCCATCTCCTGATTTTAACTGTAAACCAGTTAGAACTTATATAAATATAGATTTATATCTATATAAATACATATAGCTTATTAACTGACATGAAGAGACTGCTTGGAAACTTTGGTCATTTAATGAAGCCATTCGTGGTTTAGTGTTCATTAGCATCTTCTAGTTTGGAAACTTACTTGAAGTGAATATAAGTAAAGTGATCTGCTTCCGAAATCTTGCCCAAATGTTTTAAGCATAGCCCTTTCAGAAGCTTTATCATGCAATGGTCATCAACAAGAAAATTTGTAGCTGAAAAATGAAAGAAGACGCAGAAGTAATTTTGGATCACGACAGACATCTTTCTAAGACAGCAAACATGGTGAAACATATTTAATATTCTCATCTAATATTATATACACATATTAGTTATGAACATTATAATTATTGATAACACATATTCAAACTATCCTATACATTGTTTAAATGATATAATATCCAATTATTTGAATTAGTGACTTCATAAATTCTGTGATTACATGAAGAATTTTTCTATTATGTCTGTATTTATGAAGTCACTAATTCAAATAATTGGTGCATTATGCTGTTGTGGTCCGCCGCTGGCCTGCGGAGCTGGCAGCAGTGGGGAGGAACATGGGCCAGTCCTGGAGTCTGGGGAGGGCTCAGATGAGGGATCTGCATCCGACACAGAGATGGGGCCAGGGCCATCTGGGAGTTATGTACTGACTCCAGAGCCTCTACAATCTGACATCAGCGAGGCAGAGGAATAGGGGGAGCCTGTTCCCAGTGCACCCTTGCACAGAGCTGCCAGAAGGCAAGAACAGTAAAGACAAAAGGGGCGACTCGGGAGTAAGGCTTGGAGATGATTGGCCCCTCTCATAACACATAAAGGAGGAGCAAAGGGACATGAGCCTTTGCAGGAAACAACTTATTTGTTCTGGTCAGTTTAAACTCGGAAGCTCCGTGTTGACTTTGTGCTCCGTTTGGCCTTGTACAGCTAATTGGCAATTTAGTCGTTGGCAGCATTTCAAGGGAGATAAAGATGGGTGCTTATCAGCCTTATCCCGAAAGACTGTGACAGACTTCTGTTGGACTATTCATAAACTGTTTGGGACTCATTACAGGCTGTGAATGCATATAATTCACAGCCGTTGAAATAAAAAATGGGTTTTGCAAATAGCGTGTGATTGTTACTGTCTCAGGAAGCCTTGGTCAGAACATATGCATCGTGTTACTGGCTAGGTAACATATATAACTCACTGGCTGCAGCAGTGGGATCCACTCTTCCACTACCGGTTAAGTGATCGCGCATGTGTGCATGCACACCTTACATGCATGCACCTAACACGGGTGTGCAGCCTTCCCCACACCAGCTGAGGCCTGCAGCGCCAATCAGCTGATAGGATAAAGAAGAGAAAAGTGCAGGGGCGGGTAGGAGGGTCAATCCTGCGCTTTTCTCTTCTTTCCCCTCTCAGATGATTGTCAGAGGCTTTTGCCGAACTGGTCCAAACTGGTAGCATACCATCACTGACTGGCTGGGTTTAAATATATTGATAAGTCCACAGTATCATTATAGGACTTCCTTGGTTCAGGTTTAGTCTACTGTATGAGCTCAGGTATATTTTTCAATAGTTAAGGAAATTCTGGTTTACAAAAGTGTTCAAATCCAGTCAGGATTTAAACACTCTTCCTCCCAGATGATATGCTGAGCAGTGAGGGGATTTGCTTCTCCTGCTGACAAACAGCTGATTTTGCTGCCAAAGCAGGTTTCTTGGCAGCTGGCTCCCTAGATTGAATGGGAACAGCTAGGAACGACCCAGAACAACTCTCTGGACACTCCTGGAGGTTGCAATTCCTGGTAGGAGCAGTCAGAGTCAGGTCTATATCTTTCCTCTCAGGTGTCCAGGTTTTTAAGCCTGCCTTGGTTTTTAACTGCACATATTTTCCCTTTATTTGATTAATATTTTAAAATTTTAATTGACTGATTGAAGGCTGATTTACTCTAACCCCTTGCTGGATTTTAACGCCAACTTTCTTTTGTTTCTTCATTGTTTTTTTAATAGCTGTGAACTACTTTCACTTTGCATATGGAAGCTGAAGGCAAATTTTACATGTAAATTCTGACTTACAAAAGTGTTTAAACCCAGTCAGTGTTTAGACTTTCAGCTACTGAGATCTACCTATGATCAGTGGACCACAGTCACCCATGCTGTTCCACAATTAAAACCTAAATTGCTCCTCAGAAACAATCTGTTCCTAATACCATTTTTAACACCTCCAAATGTGCCCCAAATTAAGATTAGGAATTGGAGTGAGAAGACTCTTTTTACTCTCGTTTCCACTCTTAATTGCCTAAAGCTCATCTCATGCGATCGGCAGGCTAGCGCAAATATGCACATGCATAGCTCGACTCATGCAAGTGGTGGGTCGGTGAGCATGCATTAGCTCAACTTGTAGTCAAGTTGTATGTGCATACACATGCATGCCAGCCCACAACTCACACAAGTCAAGTTGCGTACGAGTGCGTAAACGCTGGCCCACTGCTCGCACGGCTCGATTTCCCTCTCCCGCCCCCCCAGCCGGGTCACCAAGCCACAAAGGTTGGGGGCTGCTGCTTTACATGATCAGTTGTACCCTCAAATTCCCCAGAAACTGGCCTCCTACCACTGTAAGCAATCTTATCTGAGGTTTGAAACGAATATGTATAAATAGAAAGGGGAAGGATAATTGTTAGGAATATAAGTCACCTAACAGCTATTTGGGTTGGACAATATATAAACCAGGATAGACATTTTAATACTGTCTCTTTAAGAGAATCCTAAGTGTAATTGGGTGTGGTTTCTCAAACGGCCATAAGATGGAGCCAGAAACTTGGGTTGTTTAGTCTTAGTCTCAGAAGAGAGTATGTCTCAGTGAGTCTCTGTTTCCTTCTGTTGGAGAGTATTGCCATTCCTCCTAATTGACTGATATTCCTGGATTTGATGTAAGTCTGACACTGAACTGTTTTTGACACTGGACTTTGTTATTGGATTATCCCTGGACTGAAAACTGACTGATTTACCTGTGAATGACTTTAGACTGGTTGTTTGAATTTTGCTTAAACATTTGGGGAAGTAAAAACCTACATTTACTGTACAGTGTATCTATGTGCTGTGTGTGTATTATTCACTACTCTCAATACGTCTCCCTGTATGCACTCATTCTCCTAACAGGGAATTACCTTAACAATAATAAATGTAGATCTGGATTACCTGGGCCTTTTTCCAGGATTGTTTCTGCCTCTGCTAAGGACTCCAACATGTTTTCAGTTAAATCTGGGCACTTCCCAATCACTGCATAACCTTTCCAGATATACATCATTTCCTAAAAAATGTTGAAATATAATGTATGTTACTGGAGACGTTTTCTTCCAAAATATATGAGTACATCAGATAAATATTTGAGAAGTATTTTTGTTAAGTTTGTAGTGACAGAATTTCCTTTTTGCTAACTTCTTGCAAAACTGAAACTAGCAATTCTTCATCTACACATTTGTCTGCCTCACTGATAGTATGTGATTATTTCCCCAGATCTTTGACAAAATACTTTATTTATTTGAAATAATTTATTTCAACTATTAATCTTCTACCTTAAAAGGCCAAAGCAAATGCCACTGAGTCACCTTATGGGGGACATGGGCAGCATAAAATTTTAATCAAATAAATAATAATAATAGGAAGATTTGGATTAGGTGGAAGAGAATGTAATTCCTTTCTATTAAATTCAGATAAATTATTTCTTCTTTCAAATGACTCTTTTCCATCAAAAACCTCTCTACTTTTTAAGTCTCTTCCTCCCTCTCTCTTTTAACCTTCCCACTCATTATGCAAATCCAATCTGGAAGAAAAACAGTACATGGGAGGGTGATTTTAAAATTAAGGAAAACAGAATATATGAATAGAATTAAACCAGTATGCATCCATGAAACCAGTAATTCCATCTCCAAAATGAGTGTTCATAAGAACGGATCTGTATTCTCCCAAATAGATTCCTCAAATATATTAAATAAAAAATGAAACTTGCATAATAGAGCTATGAAGCAGGACCATTTTACCTCAACTCCCAGCTGTCAGCAATTTGCAGTAATCAAAACACAAGTGCTTAGTTTTATTACTATAATATTTTTCCAAATCACATCTATATTCCTATTACATATTACAGGGATCTTCCGAAAGGCACCTGGAAAGAAACATCTGAAGGTTCTATTACCCTGCAGGGTAACACAGCAGCACCTTGTTGTGTTATGTTCTGGAAGGTATATTCTATTTTTTTAAAAAAAAAAAAACAAGTTTTATTAATTTTTTTCAAAACACACAAGTCGTCATTATCCATTACATATTTAAACCTTTTTCCATTATAAATTTAACAAGTCAGATAAACTATAATTCTGTTTTAAACCATTTCCATATAAACATACAAAAACCTCTTATCCATTTTCTCTTTCTTTCTCTTTACTCTTATTCCATTTTATTATTATTATTTCATCTATTTCTTTCTGACTTAGTTACCATTATTCTCATTCTATATTTCTGCAAGGTTTCATTAATTCTCCCCCCCCAAAAAAACATATATACACAACACACAAAACATAAAAAAAGATCTTTTTGGAAAGTAACTTGGACCCAGGTATTTCTTTCTTCATGGACTTCAACTGTATTCATACTCATCTTACATATCATTACTTATTTTATTTACCATTCTAAATCTTCTATATTAACTTCTCCCCATATTTCACTCTTTTTAATTCTATCTTAATTAATCATCTTAATTTGAGTCATTATATTTGTATCTTTTGTCCATTCTTTATTGTACTTTTGTCTCATTCCTTATAAAAAAAAAAGAAATTTCTCCTGAAATCACTAATCAGAGTATGATGCCTTTCTATCTCCCGACTAAATTAATCAAATTAATCTTTAGAATACCCAATCCGATTTTGCTTGGTACATTCTAACTGAATAATACATCCAAAATAATTAAATACATAGTTAAACAATAGATCTAAATATTAAAAACAAATACTATAATGAAAATTTTATAATAACATCAATCCCATAATCTTATTAAACTCTTTAATTAAAGCTCAATATTCTAAATCTCCCCTCATATTATATTTTAAAACCAATCATTATTAACATTTCAACATTTTAATCTCTTATCAACTCTTAAGCCATTTAAGTTTTCTATTTCTAATACAATACTACCATATCATCTTATGTACCTTGCAAAATCTCTTTGAAGAAATTATACTTATCCTTTATCCCTAAAAAAAATTCCTTTTTTCCCATTTAATTTCAAAACTTTGTAGCTTTTCTCCACCTTTTCCCTTTCTTTCTTCTCCCAACAAACCTTTCTACCCCCCCTTCTTCTAGCCTCTGCCTTACTGGCTTCCCTTCTCTGTCGTATTCCTCTTCCCTTTTGTTTACCATCCTTATATTGATTTTGCACCTTGTTTTTCCCTTTCTTAAATATTTTTTTAAATCTTAAGTCCTTTATTTCTCTTCTCTTCCCTCTTCCTTCCCTCTTGGTCGAGTTCTGAGATTTATTAAAGATGGTTTCCTCTCCTTCTTCTTCTTCTGCTGTCTTCATCTGCTGCAATGTTTGTTGATAGTTAATAAGCGCCATTTCTAAAAAAAGGAAGGCTTCTTTCAAACCAGCTTTACCATTTTTTTTTTGCTTGCTCATAATCTTTTCTCAGTTCCTCAATAGAAGGAGCCATTATAAATCTTTTCTTTTCTCTTACAACAGTCAGAATATTCCAAAGGAAAAATAAGACAATCCCAAAGTTATCAGTCAGTCCAAACCAAGACAGAGTTCCCACTCTCTCCTCCTAGGGTAGTATCAATCAGAGAAAAAGAAAGTCCAAATCTGTTTCTTAAAATCTTATTGCAATATATTTTAGTCTTTCAATCCTTAAGGCATCTCCTCCAACAAAGTCTTAGCATATAAATATTTTTTTTTAGTCCTCTCTTTTCCCACTCATCGCTTAAAGCCAGTTTTCACCTAAAAAAAAAATAGATTTCTTAATGTTCACTTTTTATTCCGTAAAAAAAGAGGGTAAGCTATCCTTTCAGCACCATTAAACTGCCGCTTTTTTCCTCTTCTCGAAGGTATCATTCAGAAAGTCATACTTTTCAGGAATTTTGTTAAATATGTCTTAGAGTCCTAGGAGCCAAGAAAAACTTTCTCCTTTCAAGCACTTTCTCCACTTCCTCCTGCGCATTCTTACCCGGCTGCCAGCTTCTTTGTGGCGGCCATTACGGACCGCCGCTGCACCGTCCTGGGAAAAGGGGGTTCTGCCGGCCGGGGAGGGGGTCTGCAAAACCCCCAAACCCTTCTCCGGATCCCCCCTACCTTCAGCTGCCCCTGCAGGGCAGCCTAGCTCCGTACCCGTCTGGGTCGGAGCCCCAAAAACGGCTAGCGCGGCAGGGATCGCGCAGCTTCACAAATCCCTGCCGCTCGCGAAGCCGACAAACCGGAAGTGTCAGGAAGGTATAGCCCAGCCTTCCTCCTTTGTCAGCACATTGGGCAGCCCAAGCTTCTAGCCCGCCTTTTTCTTGACCAATCCTCATCACCTTGCAGCTCCTTCCTGAAGAACCTGACTTAGCCTGAAAGCAGTGCCCAACCTGGTATATGAGAACAAGCAAAGTCACTCGATACAAGAAGAAAGGCTTGGCTGTGTTGCCCAGCCAGCTAGATTCAGGTATTGCCTAAAGAGACCTATGGAGCTGAGCCATGATTAATTATGTGACCACTATTTCCAAATCATTGATTCTCCTGAAGCGTTTCCACAGCAAATGTCTGTTTTAACCTTGATCAAATAAAACAACTCTATATTCCTTTGTTTTACTTTTAACATTCTTGATCTTTAGTCCATTCACATAATGTTCTAGAACACGAGTTCTTTTCATTTTTTCTTTGTCTCTTCTCACAAAATTATTTAAAGCTTTAACGTCTCTTAAATCCAATATAAATAAATCCAATTTACTGCTTTAGTTTTTTATTTGTATATCCCTTTTAATTACTAAGATACCAGTCTATTTTACTTATATATCCAATGTAGCATCTTTTTTCATATCATTTACATCAGGCAAAACTTGTCCTTCTTCTGTAACATCTTTAAAAAAAAACTATAGAGGCAGACACTCTTAAAATTAGGTTCTGGATCCAGTGTTCAAAAACATCCTTCAATATATACAATGTTAAAATATTTTTTCTTCATTCTATGTCACTGTCAAATTTAGGTGGTTTTTCTCCTTTAATGGTAATCTTTACTTCCTTCTTTTCTCTGGTGTCTAACCTTCCAAGTCTTACCCTATCATTTTTTTAAATAATTCAAAACAAAAGCATTTTTCCACAAGAACTTTTATAATTAATTTCAAAATCTTACTTCAAATCTATCTGGATTCTTAGTTCATTTGTAAATTTCCACAATAAAATTTCTAACCATGCTTTTGCTATTTACTAAAACAAATTAAAAGAAGCTCACCCAGTATTTTTAGACTTGTACATCCAAAAGTTCCTAATAACTAAAAAATAGTTAATAAGCAACTTCTCAAAGTGATTAGAAAAAGAAGTATGTGAACCCAGTATCTATAAATGTGCTGGCCATGGTTTAAGCAAAAAAGACTCTCCTTTGTGTCCCAGATCTCTTAATTTGCCAGAGATCACTGTCTTGTGGTATCCTAGTGAGGAGAAACTATGCACTGATGATGTTATCTAGTTTGCTAATGAAATGAAAGAAAATATCCAAGGTTAAACAATACCAAGGACCCCCCCTTTCTTTCTTTTTTTAACTTTGAGCTACAAATATTTTCCTTTATCAATGAGGAGCAGTGGTCTAGAGCACTTGCACTTGCTCTTAAGACCTCTTCTTGTCTGGAGAAGAATTACGAAGACCTGATCTACTTACTGGGTCTACATTCCACAGTAGTTGTTAAATCTGCTTTTAGTAGAGCTGTTTCCAGTTCGTCATTCCTTCCTGAAAAGTTCTTTCTGTGTCAGTTTCAATTAGTGAGGAGTTTGAAGGAACAGAACCACAACATAAAAGGCACTTTCTTCTACATGCATAGTAATAAGGACCCTTCCATCAGAATCAAAATTGGCCTGGTGCTACAATTAATTATTAACAGCCTGCTATAAATAGTGCAATTCCAATTTCTAATTCCTCAGATTACAGTTTTATTATTTGTGAGCGCCATCTGGTGCTCTTGTTATGCTGTTCCACCAAGAAAGACAAAAAATGATTATCAGCCATAAATGAGGCAAAAAAGTCAATTAAGTAAAGAATTTCATTTTCTGAAATGAAGAGATACACATCTATTTGTGCACTATAAATGTGATCTTTTCGGGAGTACTTTCCATTTACATAGTTTTCTCCATTTGCACTATGAAGCTCTATAGATACAAAACCCTTGCATTGTTAATAGCTATCCAGCATGAGTCACTGATTGGCTTGATTTACAGATCTCATCATTATTTTGTACTTTTTTTTTCATACTGTATAACTGGTTCAGTGGACTCATACATCTGTGCATATGCTATTTTCCATAATCTGATGTCTCCAATGTGACTCTAACTGTGATGGACTTCAGTGTCATAATTCACGCTCAATATGTCCAACACACTAGATGATATCTGTTTGGGAAATGTTGGTTAATATAATCCACTGCTTTTATTTGTGGCACACAAAACAAAGAATAGCAGCTATTCAAAATGCATACCCAATGCTGTGATAAAAGCAGGTTAGAATCCTCATGGGGTGTTTATCTCCAGTATCATCAAATTAAAAGAAATATCAGGAGAATTTGTATATAATGTTTGGCTCCATGTAGACATTCAAATCAAATCAATATTATAATAGTCATAGACTAGCATATTTATATATAAGAAACAGATGTGGAGAAGGGATCTTTTCCAGCGTACCAAAACAGGCACAGGAAGTCGAACAGCATTTGGGGAAAGGTATCTCCGGGATTTCCAAACTGCAAACTTTTCTGTAGGCAAGGATTTCCCTGCTTTTTTCAGTTTCAAACTAGGCACAGCCCTAGGAAGAAAAACAAGAGATACACATTTAAACGATTTCCTGTATGATAATTGTCATCTTCTAAAAACTAGAAAAAAGAAAAACAGGAGAAATCAAAACAGAACAGAAAAAAATGATATTGTTCCTGTATTATACAACAAAAGCATTTTGTGCTACATCAAATTTCATCTAGAGACTGGGAGAATCTGAAACGGTACAGTGAATGGCCTTCCAGGGAGATTTTTGGCTAACAATGGGCAGAGTGACCCAGATAGAAATTATTCCTGCTTTAGGAAAATACCATTCTCTTAGCTCAGAAATTACCAGCAGCAGGGCAAGTATATGATGATCAGCAGAAGAACATATACCCTTTCCTGAATAATTATGACACAATGTAACTTATCACCATGAATAGAATATTCCATTAGATCTCCCTTAATTTTAAAGATGATGTAAATATAAAATTCACAAAAGCACACAAAATGACAACTTTAGTTTTAAAATGTGACTGAATGAAAGAAGTTTATCTTCTCTCATTATCAACCACTATCTTCCATTCTGGTATCTGTTTTATTCTCAAAAATCTTACCTAAATAGCTCAATTTCATCATCTCCAAAAGGTTTATAATCTTTTGCTCTAAACATGCTGAGGTAGGCAGCTTTCATAAATACATAAGTAGCTTAAAAGAAAAACAATATTGTTGAGATATATTCATGTTATCATCTCCAATAAAACATGCAGATCAATAACGTTGAAGCCAGAAAGGAGCAGAAAGTGTATTATTTTCTAGTAATGGGAAAATATCTATTCTTGTCAGCAAGAAAATATAAAATTACACAGAGCTAATTTGTGAGCAATATGTGCAATCAGAATTACACCTCAGAATTTCTCAGAGTAAAAAAAACAATATCTTCCTTAGCAATATAATATCTAATGCAACATTATAATGGGCTGTTGACATAAGGATCCAGTCATAATTATTTGCCAAGCACATGATACACATATGAATAGACATACAATTTATTAAGCTGCTGATACAGTTCTACAAAGGAATTATTGAGTCTATCATCTGCACTTGTCTGGTTTGGTTCTGCAACCCAACAGGAAAGACACAGACTTCAGAGGATAATTAGGACTGCCGAAAAAACAATTACTACCAACCTGCCTTCAATCAAGGACCTGTATGCTGCACGAGTCAAGAGGGCTGTGAAAATATTTACAGACCCTCACATCCCAGACATAAACTGTTTCAACTCCTTCCCTCAAAACAACACTATAGAGCACTGCACACCAGAACAACTACACACAAGGACAGTTTTTTCCAGAAAGCCATCACTCTGCTAAACAAATAATTCCCTCAACACTGTTCAACTATTTACAAAGTCTGCACTACTATTACTATTAATCTTCTCATCATTCCTTATCACCTATCCCCTCCCACTTGTGACTGTATGACTGTAACTTTGTCGCTTGTATCCTTACGATTTATATTGACCGTTTCCTAGTATGATTTGATTGCTTATTGTACCCTATGACTATTATTAAATGTTGTACCTTATGATTCTTGACTCTTGATGAATGTATCTTTTCTTTTATGTATACTGAGAGCATTTGCACCAAGACAAATTCCTTGTGTGTCCAATCACACTTGGCCAATAAAAGAATTCTAATTCTAAAAAGGAATTTGCATCAGTTTTGTTCCCCCTGTCCATTTCTTCTTCTACTTAGTTATCTTTGTTCTCTTAATGTTAGTATGTATTTATATGCTTAAAAGCACCAAAAAGGACCATAAGGTTATACTACCAGATTAAAAAGCACTACTTTTTTAAAATAAATGTTCTACCAGTATGTTATTACTGGGTCCTCTCCTTACTGGAATTGATAAACATTTGGCCTTTATATACACAGACTTACATTGCAGAACTTATGACTAAATCATTTACCCATTCTCATCAAACATTGTGCTTAGAGTGGGAGAAGGGTATCCATGTGGAGGAAGGCTAGGTTAAAGGAATCATAATGGGCTTGCTATTTTTAAAAGGGAAAACTAAGAACCCTTGGAAAAATAGTAAAACGTACTGTAATTCCTATATAGCTGGTTTTAAGATTTATGCCAGGGAGGATTCAAATTTAATTGATGTGGTTTATTTGATCACTTTAAAATAGAAGCAATCACATTTTGCAAACTAATAATAATAATAATAATAATAATAATAATAATAATAATAATAATAATAATAATAATAATAATAATAATAATAATAATAATAATACTCTTGAATGGCAGTTCTTAATTCAGATTCCTCAAATCTAAGAAAACAACTCACTTGTATTTGTGGGAAGACAATGATCAACTGTACTGTTCATGGGAATAAAAATAATTCTGATCAGTAACTATCCATTCACTGATTGGGTTCACCACATCATATTAAGACATTTGGGTAGTCATCAACTTACAACCACAATTGTACCACAAAATTTCTGGTATTAAGCAAAACAGTTGTTAAGTGAGTTGTGCCCTATTTTACAACTTTTTCTTGCCATCGTTGTTAAGTGAATCACTGCAGTTGTGAAGTTAGTAATATGGTTGTTAAATGAATCTGGCTTCCCCATTGATTTTGCTTGTCAGGAGGTCTCAAAAGGGAATCACGTGACCCTGGGACACTGCAACCATCATAAATACATTGCAGTTGCCCAGCCTCTGAATTTTGACCACTTGACTATGGGGATGCTACAACAGTCATAAGTGTGAAAAACAGTTGCAACTCCTTTTTATCAGTGCTGTTGTATCTTTGAATGGTCACTAAATGAATGGTTGTAAGTTGAGGGCTACCTGTATGTTATATATTAGAAAGTATTCCTATAAAGCAAACTGAACATTCCCATTTAAATTGAAAATACTATTTGGTATTAATTAAAAAGGAAAGCTAACCACTACGTATGATAAAGTCAACAGCACATTCCTCAACTGTCCTCCAGCCCAGAGGTAAGACTATTTTATGTTTTATTCTGCAGAAGTCAATCAAAATTACTTTAAAGATGTTCTGGAATACATTTATTGTAAGTTATATAATTTTGTGAGCAAACGTACATTTATTTTTGTCCTTAACTTATGAGCACAATTGGGACAGAATTTCTCCAGCTAAACAACTAAGGCAGTTGTTAAGTGACCTGAGACAATTTTATGGTTTTTTTTGCCACGGTTATTAAGTGAATCACCATAATTGTTAAGTGAATCAAGTGGTTGTTAAGCAAAGTCGACTTCCCTCATTGTAGATAGCTGGCTAGGAATGTTGCCAACAGTGATCCCATGACCTCAGCATCCTGGATTCTGCATCCGTAACGACTTACGACTTAGATGAAGGAAATTAACAATTTAATTAGGGAATAGAAGGGGAACTTACCAAATTTGCTGGCAGGAATAGCTAGCACCGAAGAAGATAGGCTCAAGATCCAGATGGATCTTGACAGTCTAGAACACTGGGTCATATCTAACAAAATGAAATTCAATGTAGAGAAAAGTAAAGTCCTACACTTAGGCAAGAAAAACCAAAAGTACACATACAGACTGGGTGAAACCAGGCACAATAGTGGTAACTGTGAGAGGGATCTTGGAGTCTTAGTGCACAACCAGCTAAATATGAGCCAGCAGTGTGCAGCAGCAGCCAAAAAAGCTAATGCAATCCTAAGTTTCATTAACAGAGGGATACAATCAAGATCAAGTGAGGTACTAATACCACTCTACAAAGATGACCACACCTAGAGTACTGCATCCAGTTTTGGTCACCATATTTTAAAAAAGATGTTGAGACTCTAGAAAGCGTACAGAGAAGAGCAACCAGGATGATTAGGGGACTGGAGACTAAAACATATGAAGAATGGTTACAGGAACTGGGCATGGCTAGTCTAGTGAAGAGAAGGACCAGGTGAGACATGATAGCAGTCTTCCAATATTTGAGGGGCTGCCACAGAAAGGAAGAGGTCAAGCTATTTTCTAAAGCACCCGAAGGCCAGACAAGGAATAATGGATGGAAACTGAACAAGGAGAGATTTAACCTGGAAATAAGGAGAAATTTCTGACAGTGAGGACAATCAACCAATGGAACAGCTTGCCCTCGGAAGTTGTGGGAGCGTCATCACTTGAGACTTTCAAGAAGAGACTGGACTGCCATTTGTCAGAAATGGTATCGGGTCTCCTGCTTGGGTGGGGGGTTGGACTAGATGACCTATAAGATCCCTTCCAACTCTGATTATCTGTTACCATCATAAATACATCAGCCGGAATTCTGATCAGATCACTATGAGGATGTTGCAAGGTTTGTAAGCATGAGGACTGGTTATAAATCACATTTTTCAATGTCATTGTAACTTCAAACAGTTGCTAAACAAATGATTCTAAGTCAAGGACTATCTAATCCTGCCCACATCATTGTTTTTAACTCACCTTTGACCAGGTATTCTCTTTGCTAAGCAGATCTGCATAGAAATAGGCCATCTTCCACTGGTGTTTATATGTGAAGCACCACATCAGTGCCCAGTAGCACATATGATGGAACTGTTTCCAAAGCTACTGGGCTTCACAACATTCCTCAAACCTTCTGATGGCCTGAAAAAGCAAAAACAAATATAACCCCAACTGGATATTAATGTAACTTTAAAATACGTGTTCCAAACATTCATTAGTCTCAGACACTAATGCTAATGTCCTGAAATTATTACTGAGAAAATAAAATACAACTGTGTGGGAAGATAATACAAAGGAAGTACATGGAATTAAATATTTACTTTACAATATGTTATTTATTTATTGCTTATTAAATTTATTTCACTGATCCCAGCAATTCAGGGTAATATACTGTATATACATAGTTTTTCAGCATCCAACCTTTAACCCACCCTAAGTTAGGTTAAATTGAACTAAAGGAATTAGTTTAAGATTACTTCGTAACCAAGTGGCATTTTGAACCTCTATTTCTTAAACCTTAAATCAACCATTTGCTCCAAATATTATTAGTTCAAATCCATTTCCAGTTCATATATTTCCTAGAAATGTATTAATGCTATTTTCCCCATTTTAATAATTCATCAACTTTAATGTTTCAGTTACTTATCATGAGTGTGTGGGTGTATTTGCAGAAAAAACTGCTCTCAGAATAAAAGTGGTCCCCATTTAGCAACCACAATTGGTTTGGGGGAAATGCTGCATAGATCACGTTTCCTGTTGCCTTGTTTAGATAAATTTCTCATGCAGCAATACTAGCATTATTCTCACTCTTGCATGTGTTGTTGCATCAAAATTTAGCAATTTTTAAAAACTATTTTTGACTATCAGTTATTACTGTCAGATTTGCAAATGTTTGCAGTTGCTAATCAAGGATATAAAATAAACAAAAATTATTATTTTTTTTCAAAAACAAAACAAAACAGTAAGATAAACAAAAATCTATGTAGCAGAATAGATTAGAATAGCAATACTGCTAAATAGCATTTAAACAGTGGGAACAGATTGAATTAAAATATTAGCCAAATAAATCTATTTTTATCTGGCATATGATAAAAAAAAGTCTTTGTGTGCCAAGTAAATACTTCTATATTGTGTAAAGGAATATAGACCATAATTGGACATCATAACCAAAAAAGTTTTAGATCAAAACTGGCTTATTTTTTAAGGAGGGGTGTCTGTAATTATTTGTGATAAGGAACAGGTTAGAGATTTTCTATCATTAAAAATCATGCTAACTAGCCGGTTTCCTTTCTAGAATCTTATTGTCATTTGCTTTTATCTCTACCTGAGTAGAAAGTGGAGGGGTCTCTCCTTCCCATCCTCCCCCTATTTCTTTCTCTCTCTCTCTCCTTCTCCAACACACAAACCAACACACACAGACACACACACACACAGTTTTTTAAGAGTTCTCTCATTTGCCACTACCAGTTCTTGAATAGGAGAAAGAGTACCTCTCATCTGAAATCTGGGTAGAAGAATAAAAAAAACCTACTTCCACAGGCACAAACTCTTAAATTAAAGATTCCATTTTTCATTTTTACTAGGAACCAGGGGCCAAGCAATTATCACTTCAAAACTGGCATTTTCTTTGAACAGCGCTTTTATTATACAAGTTATAAAATGGGCATTTGAAAAAATAATTTAATCACAATTATTCCCAACTGAGGGAAACAACAAGAGAACTAAATAAAGAATCCTTTGTGTATTGTTCGTGTAATACCTAACTGTATTTTCATTGCCAATTTTTCTTTCTTTTACCTTGGTTTCTGATCTCCCATGATTCTGGAGCTGAATTCTTTAACCCAGTTATATGAAATCTATTTTCTTAGCGTGTCTGCTTCCACAAGGCATCCAGTCAGGATTGTCTGAGAACAAAGAAGTTCCTAACTTTGAAGCCATTTCGAACAATAAGAAACCACATGCCTTCCACATCTACCTCACCAAGATTAATCCTAGTAGAAAATCACTCCAATTTCTGCAGTGGAATTTTCCTTGGAAAGTCGAACTCTAAGAAGGAAAATAGCTGCGATTAACTCTGGCATTACTACCAGATTTAGTTGGAAGTAAATGACAAATCGGATAAGTAAACCCAAGCCACGTGACTGTATTTTCTCCTACTACTCAACTT